CTTCGGGACGCAGAAGCGATCTGGCGACAGGTAAGTCGCCAGGATCGCTTCTGTTGTAAAGCCGACAGTCGGCTCTACAAGTTTAAACAGAGTCCCGGCGGCAAAAGTAACCGGGAGTCTGTTTAAACAGCCCCGATGCTGGCGACGTACACTGTACGTCAGTCACGAAGGGGTTAAAAAACAGACAAAAAAAACGGACCTATTACGAGCGATTGGGCGTCTCTACAGATGCTGGATCACATTTATGTAAACAGCCATCGCTGGCTGTTTTACATTTTTGACAGTTTCTCCACTCGTCTGGGCGCCACGCACGAGTGGGGGCAAGGATGGGGCATTTAAAGACGCCCACCCGCTCCTACAATTATCCCATCCGGCTTTTTAGAAACGCCCAATGGACGGGAGGTGGTTAATACATTATATCTCCAGTAACAACATAAAAAAAAAATACTGATCATAGTTGAAAAAGTGCTTTTTTTTTTTTTTTTTCTTACTCTTTTTATTTTTGTTGTGTTTTTTGCCTATGGATTACATAAAAATAACATGTATTTAGCAAGACAATGTCACCAATAGATGGCCTTGTTTGTCCTGAAAATAATATATGTAATAAAATAAACCCTGTGATGGGTTGAAAAACATCCATCAGCAATACTCTTATAAGAAGCATCTGTATACTTGTGTATGCAATGGCCGATGAGCTGAAACGTTGAACTCCTGCTGCTGATACTATCTGACACCCCTGGTGTGTTGAATAGCATTCTCTGACCCCCACTGACTGCTGTGGTTCTCCCCGGTGACCCCTGCTGGACATAGTAAGGCGTAGGGGTGAGAGGAACCAAAGTCACATAGTATCAGTAGTGGGAGCTCTTTAAGAGAAGGATGTTTCAGCTCACAAGCTGCTTGATAGAAAAGTATACCAGTGCTTCTTTCACAGGCTGTTGCTGATAGATTTCTTTTTTCTGTCCCTGACCGTGTCACTTTAAAGCCCCACTCCTAGCTGCTGCTAAATGTATCCATGCAGTGGGATCCACCCGCATATGGGATCCATTGTAGTGGGATCCACCTGCACTGCATTGGTTCAATGTTTGGCTAGGGGGGATAGGAATAAGTACACATACTTAACTTTTGCTTGCTTCCACCGGCTTCCTCCTCTCTGTGGCGGTAGCAGCCCTCTGATGAGGAATAAAGTTAGAATTTGTACCTATTCCGTACCCTCTAACCAAACAAGCATTTACCCCAATCGGAGCAGGAGGGGGGAGATTTATACAACAGCCCAGAGTTGGGTATTAAGCAATGACAAAGTTATAGTTTAGTAAGCAGGCCCATAGCAGATATATAAATTTGCTCTGGTCCATAAAGGGTATATAGAGCTAAAGTAATTCAATGATCCATGTGATGTATCCCTATAGACCTGTAATGTTCTGTTTTCTTAGAGATTTGAGTAAGTCTTATAAAACAAACATATATTTTTTCTTTTCTTTTACATTCAATGCAATCCTTTTTCTTGTACATGGAAATAAAGAAACATCTTCCTGGGTGAAACATTCTCTAGCTACATCAGTGTTCACAATGACAGCAGTCAAACCGTCAAAGACATACAAGTCAAGGTAGGTAGGCCATTTCTAGCGATACTGCTTTGTGTCTTGCCCTAATACTTTCTTTTTGCATATTTTATTATTTATTCTATGATGTGCTCAGAGCAACATCTCTCCAAGATCAGCCCATGATTTCAACTTTCAAAGTGTACTTCTGAAACAGTTTTTAAAGCTGAACTTCAGGCAGATATAAAAGACATAAATGAATGCAGCTCTGCATTCATTAATTTAACCCTAAATGTATTCATTACACCGCTTGCATTGAAATCTGAATTTTACTTGGTATCAGCCTCTTGCAGTTCCTGTATAGCAAAGGCCTGTGCTGTAGCAGAGCTGTAAAATGTAAAAATCCCAGGACAGGATAGACAGAAATACAATTTCATTTGGCAGGTAAAACGGCTCCCATATATGTATTTAGCTGTTTGCCTGGAGTTAACCTTTGATTTCACAAATCAAAAGACCTCTGTGCAAAACATTTAGGTGTAAGCTACCATTCACAGACTCAAATCCTGCATTCTAGTTCTGAGACATAAAAGCTGTTTTAACTAAAAGTAATGCCTGATTATTACTATGCAGTCCAGGGTCAGAGAATGGCATCGTGGTTTTTACAGAGGTATTGCTTTGTGACATATTACCTTTTATTGTTTCCAAAATTATTACTTTGCATCTATCTGCCATGCAAAAAGTAAGATCAAATTTAGTTTAGATTGGACAAGAAATTCACCGGAAAGTAAGATAAATATAAAGTTGCATTACATAATGTGACCAATGGGTGAGGGAGATGAATGTCTCAGTATAAAATGTATGCACCCATGTTTGGTACTGATGAATGTATTGTCTTTCTACAGGCAGACCTGCAGACAAGCTCCCAGCGGCTCAACCTGTCTGCATCCAGTGCTGTAGTGGCTGAACTAAGATCAGACAGCTGTATAGATGATGTCATTCATCATGAAGTTAAAGAGATCGGCACACACATGTAAGCTGTAGGATTAAAAGATGATTATGAAAATAATACTGTTTCAGCTAGTGGTTAGTAAATTGATTTGCAAGTCAGATGAAGGTGAATTGCAAAGTGTTGTACTCGCCATAAAACCTTTTCTTGGAGTCCATTGAGAAACGCAGGCAGTCATATACTGTCGGGTTAGAGTGCTGCAGGCCAGCCCAGGATAACCCCCTTCCTATTCAATATGTCTCCGTTTGTAGCAAGCAGTACCAACAGCATAATCCTAAATGCGTCCAAAAGCAGTCCAATTGAGGGGTGGGCAACCAGCATCAAAGCTAACAGCCCCAACAAAACTAAACTGGGGACTACCATCAGCCCAAGAGTCGTCTTTTAAGAGCAGCACCAAATGAAGCCGACCCCCCTGCCTGCTGTGGAAGCTTGCCAACACAACAAGAGAGAGGGAGGCAGGGAATCAACCTGTGGTCAAGAGCACCAAGAAATGGTCACCAAGCAGAGATGAATTAACATGGAAGGGCGCGCTAAACCCCAGACTAAGCAAGAAGCTGGACAAGGAGTGGAACAATAACAAATTCTCGGAGGGGAAAAAAACCAACAACCAACATAGTTAACAAGTAATGGGAACAAGTCTGTGCTAGAAACAGGTACCAGTCAAGGAAGCTGGGAAAAAAAGTATTTGCCACTCTAGAAGGAACTCTCTAAGCCTCTACTCGCCTGACCCTATAAGTGTCAAGGAATTAGACTTTTGTACCTTGTCGGAGCAGACATCACCTCCCAAAGGCAAAACCCTGAATGGGCTAGAACTTCAGCCTGTGAAAGGTGTGAAAATGACTCGTAGCAGAGAACCCAGGATTTGGTCCCATGACCATAGCATTACTGAAAAGGTATGTGCATAGAAGACATTCCAACAAGAGCAGGCAGGAGAGGAATGTTAGAACCTAACCATAAACTGGTGAAATAGGTTACAATCCTGATGGGACTGAGGATGAGCTGGACACAATCGGCAATAAGTTAAAGGCACATCTGGGACGAGCTCTAGGGAGAACCCTGCTAAAAAATATACATATCCTGCCTAATAGGGATGCACCAAAACCAATACTAGTATCGGTGCCTATACCGAGTATTTGGTACTCATACTCGCCCAAATGCTCCCAATGCTTATCCTGATACTGGAACTTCCAGTATCAGGAAACCGGGCAGAGAGTCATTACACGCTGCCCAGCTTCCTGATTAGCCGGCTCCATGCTCCCTCGTCACTTGGGAAGCTGTGCTAATCAGGAAGCCGGGCGGCAAGTCATTACCTACCCCCCAGCTTCCTGATTGGCCAGAAAGCCATCTCCATGCTTCCTCGTCACTCCTGGCAGTCTGATATCTCTCTGTTTCTTTTTTTTTTTTTGTCTCTGGCTGGAAAGTTTGGACAGCAGAAAGAAAGTTTGCAGCAAGGTAAGGCTCCCCTCTTGTGAAAGCCAGATCTATGCTTCCTTGTCACCTGGTGACGGGTGAGCATGGAGACAGCTATCTGGCTAATCGGGAAGCTGGGCAACAAGTCATTACACGCTTCCTTGTCTTCCTTAATGGGACTTTCGGTATTGGCGAGTACCGAAAAAAAATATTGGTACTCTATACTGAAGAACTGATATCTGTGCATCCCTGCTGCCTAACCTTGATTTCAAGAGTCATAAGGCTTATGCTTTTGACTTTTGAGATCTAACAAAGCAGCAGGATTTGTGGAACCAGGGACAGGAGTTTTATCAGGGCAGCAAAGAATACTTGCTTGAGTGAATCTAAAACCGGAACCAGTGCCAGAAAGGCCTTTCACAAATGATCAGGCAAGGGAGAAGGCACAGCCCAGGGTGAACAGGTCCTACGGAGTCCTTAACGCCTCTTCTGTTTCTGACAGAGGATATCTGCAGCACCAGACTAGTTGGTTCAACCTGCAGACCGCCAAGGAAGACACAGAGCCCTCCCCCTATGACCTTTACCTGCAACACGGTGTCTGAGGCATGTCTAGGTGCATAAACCTCTCCACCATGTCTAGAAACTACCAGTTGGGCAAAACTGGTTTCCTGAACTACCTGGTATTCAGACACCTAGGTCTCCTCAGGAACTGGATCCACAAAAACAAAAGAGTAAGAGGCTGACGCTGAAACCTGACAAAGCCATATTCAACAGGATTTAACAAATGTTAAGCCCTACCAGGAGATGCTGTCCACATAAAGCAGTAAAATTGAAAAAAGGGCCTCAGTCATGAAGGGGTTAAGAGAAAGTTATATATGGAAAGAGAAATGGTCCTTTTAGGTTCCATAAGGTTTTGGACCTATGGCGTGAATGTGCATTTACTTTAAAATAGAACTACCCTTAGAATACCATTCCTAATGAGACTTAATGAAAGCTGACCTTAAAAAGTATCTCTGATAAACTACAACATGTGTTCTAATAACTCACTCAAGACTGTTAACGTTTATTCATGTAACCTTGTGTTCTGTTATCATCCACAGTTGCATCATTTGTCTTCTGTATATGTATACACTGGATTACATTTTTGTACAACTGTTTGAGAGCAAACAAACTTTTAAGAAAATGACACAATTTTGTGTTCTAGATTGGTGTGTGCTGTAAGTTACACCACTCAGACAGGCGAGAAGATGTACTTCAGAAAGTTCTTCAAGTTCCAGGTGAGTTTTACCAAGTACAATATATTGGCCATTTGAAGGGATCCTAAAATACTAAATACCTGGCTGTCAAGCTGATCCAGTGCTTTCAGTACTTTACTGCCTCAGAGTCAGTAAGCAGATTATCTGTCCACTCACTTTCACAATCTGCCTGCTTGTTCTAGGTTACCAAGCCTATAACTAGAAATAGACTTTTGACTTTTTCTATGTGTATGTTAGTGTTAATCTTCATAATGCTGACCACTTTCACGTGTGAGCAGAAAATAACATGGAAAAACACTTGAACATGATAGTTACCTTTTCTATTTGACTTCAACACTTTGAGATGCAGCAAGCGGGCAGATCGTGAAAGTGAGTGAACTGCTAATCTGCTTACTGGCTCTGAGACTTCAACCTAGAACAAGCAGGCAGATCATGAAAATGAGTGAGCTGCTTACTGGTTGTGAGGCACCAACCTAGAACAAGCAGGCAGATCATGAAAATGAGTGAACTGCTAATCTGCTTATTGGCTCTGAGGTAGTAAAGTACTGAAAGCACTGGATCGGCTTGATAGCCAGGTACTTAGTATTTTTTTGAGAAGGAAATGTCTGCAGTGGCATGCTTTGTTCATTTCAGGTTTCCTTTCAGAAATGTTTGCGAGTAGAGCCATACACAAGAGATGACAAAAGGACTACAGAAGAGGAGAGCTTTCTGTCGGGCTCATGTAAAAACATCTCTTTTCATTCTGACTTGATGAGTTTTATTTTCATTGCATACAGACAGTTGTGTTGTATGAGTAGCTGTTGGGCATTTATTTGACCGTAACAATTTGGTTTAGACATTTTTGAAAGGGTTCGTGAAGACACTTTTGTCTGTAAGCAGTTAGAAATCTGTCACAATTAAACTAAGTGACAACATTTTAGTTTGTCCCTAACTGGGCATGCTTAAGGGGAACTGGCCATTTTCAAATGCTACGACCCCTGTCATAAGAGATGTAAGAGATGCCTTATCATTCAATCAGCATTATTCAGTGAATGTCTCTACAGCTTTCTGCTTCTCCTCTTTAGCAGTGCAGATTGCTGCTGGCTTATCTCTAGTTGAAGAGAATGTATAGCGTTTGTATATATTTATCATTCTCTTTCATTTTTGCCTAGCAGTGTGCCAACTCTGAATTTGTTGTAGGTGGTGGGGTGCTCAATGCCCTTTCAGTACTAACAGAAAATATCTGTATGAAGACCAGTGGAACCAGTCCCTTGGCCGTACACTTACACCAGTAAAATTGGCCACACACTATGCAAATTTTGGCCGGTTCTTGATGCACACAATGGGTGCCTTTCGGCCAACATCCCTTTATTATCTGATCAAAGGAGCCAGTCATAACAGAGTAGGCAGCTAATGAGCTGCTTGCTCTGTTTGTGTATTCTGACTGTGGCCAGAAGCCTCTGGCAGAATACAATGAAGACAGCAGGAGATTCCTTAATCAACGCTCCTAAGCTATGATGGAGGAATCTGTTCTATTTCCTTTGTTCAGCCCGCAGGTTGAATGATGTGATTTGCAAATCTCATAAACCCATATTTATTCACAATAGAAAATAGAAAACCTCAAATGTTTAAGCTGAAAAAATGGACCATTTTTACAAAAAAATAAGGTAATTTTGAAATTGATGGCAGCAACACGTCTCCAAAAATTGGGACAGGTCAACAAAAAGCTGGCAAAGTAAGATGTACTAACAAGGAAGAGCTGGAAGAACATTTTGATTATTAAATAGGTTAATTGGCAACAGGTCAGCAACACGATTGACTCTCTAAAGGTGCCCACACACCTTGCGATAATCGTACGATAATTGCGATTATCGTAAGATGTGTGGAAGCCGTGCGACCTCTACTACTGTAAGGTCGCACAACTTTTATCCTAGGAGCATGTTCGAAAAATATATCATCATCTACGGTACATAATGACATCAAAAGATTCAGAGAATCTGGAGAAATCTCTGCAAGGGACAAGGCTGAAACACAATATTGGATGCTGTGATATCCGGGCCCTCAGACGGCACCGCGTTAAAAACAGGCAAGATTGTGTGATGGACATCACGGCATGGGCTCAGGGGTACTTCCAAAAATCACTGTCTGTGAACACAGCTCGTCGTGCCTTCCAATAATGCAAGTTAAAGCTCTATCATGCAAAGAAGAAGCCATACCTGAACATGATCCAGAAACGCCTAAAGCTCAATTGAAATGGTCTGTTGTAAACCATGGGTGCCGCGTCCTCTGCACTAATGAGAGGGGTCTTCCAGCTTTTTATCAGTGCTCTCCGTTCAAAAGCCTGCATCTCTGATGGTATGGGGGTTCATTAGTGCGTTTGGAAAGGGCGGTTTGCACGTCTGGAAAGGCGCTATCAATGCTGAAAGATATATCCACGTTTTAGAGCAGCATATGCTCCCATCCAGACAATGTCTTTTTTCAGGGAAGGCTTTGCATATTTCAGCAGGACAATGCTAAACCACATACTGCATCTATGACAAAAGCATGGCTCTGTAGTAGAAGAGTCTGGGTGCTTAACTGGCCTGTCTGCAGTCCAGACCTTTCACCAATCTAAAATATTTGGTGCCTCATAAAAGGAAAAATACAACAAAGAAGACCCAGGACTGTTGAGCAGTTAGAATCCTATATTAGGCAAGAATGGGACAATATTCCTCTCCCAAAATTCCAGCAATTGGTCTCAGTCCCCAGTGTTGTTAAAAGAAGAGGGGAGGCTACACCGTGGTAAACATGGCCTTGTCGCAACTTTTTTGGAGACGTGTTGCTGCCATCAAAATTACTTTTTTTTAAAAATCTATTTTCTCAGTATAAACATTTGATATGTTTTCTATTGTGAATAAAATATTAGTTATATATATATTAACATTTTGTGGTAAGGAGAGTAGTATTTTTTGTGAAATCAGTGATGGATGTGGCAGCAGAGTGCAGTGTTCCACTCTCAATCTTCTGGAATGTGAGTCCTAAGAAAACATGCATTGAGTGTTGCCTCTCTGCCCAGCAGATTAAAAAAGCAGAAAGGACTGAGCTCTCTATTGTGGGAACACACTGTACCCTGACACTGAAACACCACTGTTCCTTCTCAAAATGGAAAAACAGGCAAATCGCCCACTGTTTAACATGTCGTCTGTATTATTGCAGGTCCTCAAACCTCTTGATGTGAAGACCAAGTTTTATAACGCAGAGGTGAGTCTTTGTTCTCTTACATGTGTAGCAGTAAAGGGTTTTCATAGAAACGTACATTTGTGGAGCAAACCTGCTGCCTTACTGCAGATATGAGCGGAGGTTCCAGAATATTAGCTCAGCTGCTATTGTCTAAGGCCCCATTCACACTGAGCGACACTTACCTCGAGCGTATTTCAGCGCGGTCGGGATAGCGCGTCTGTTTGGGCGACCTTCACCTTCGGGCTGCATGCAAAAAGAGAAAAATTGCGCGACATCCGCGGGGAAAAGGGTCCTGCACAAGCGACGAGCAACAGGCGACATGGAGGTGTAAAATAGAACAGCTCCATTGAAAATCATTGGACGAGCGACTTCTCGCGATATTGTGGCAGAAATCACGCCATTAAACGCTCAGTGTGAAGTGTTCCGTGTTCTTATTGACAGTGAAAGAGTTTAGTAGAATGGTCAGGATTTGTGCAGGCTCTCACCTCCCGATCTACTGAGCCGACCTGTGACAGTCTCATTGTCACAGGTCGGCTAGAACTATGAGCTGAGTGAAAAGCACTCACCTCATAGTTCTCCTTTAACCACCTCCCGTCCGCCGAACGTTGAGAGGCGGCCGGACGGGAGTCTCCTGGATGCGGGTGGGCGTTTTTAGACGTCCTTAGTGCCCGCGTGCACGAGCGTGAAACCGGCTGGATTTTAAACGGCCAGCGATGGCCGTTTACATACAAGCGGTCCGGCGTCTGTAAAGACGCCCGATCTCATGTATGATGCAAGTGAGGGTGCGCCCCCCTTACCTATCGATGCTCTCCCTGCCGCCGACGTGACCCCGCCTTTTATATTTTACCATAAAATTGGTTAAAAATAAATGTTTACTAAAATAATAAAGGGAAAACCATTTTTGTTTTAAATATTCGGTACTTTTTTTGTTATATAGTAAAAAATAAAAACCCGTAGTGGTGATTAAATACCACCAAAAGAAAGCTCTATCTGTCCCCAAAAATGGTATTAAAATGAGTTTCAGTACAGCGTTGCATGACGTAATAAACGTCAGCCAAAGTACCGCAGCGCTGAATATTGAAAAATGGCTCGGGACAGGAAGGGGGTGTAACATCCCGGTCAGCAAGTGGTTAAACTAAGTCTATGATCAAAAGAACACGGAGCCTGCCTTTTGCTGTCGTCTTCTGTTTATGCTAGTTGCCTGACTGTCATATTTATCTGTTTGGCTTAGTACTTCGAGTCACTGACCCAGAGCAAGCACTCAAAATCCACTTCTCTGTCTTTACCGATCTGCATACTTGTTTTGGTACTCTGACTGACTTAAATGAATGAAACCAATGGATCAACATAAGAGCCAGGCAATTTGCAATCTCATAAGGATATCAGCAGTGGTGTCCCCCCATATGTCTCTATTAACAGGTTTTCTAAAGGGGTCTCTCAATCATATAATATTACTAGAGTCCACTTTAGCAAATCTTAAATAACATTTGTGAGAAAAATATGAAGTCGGAACTCTTCATCTGTATAATTCTCATGGGTCATTAAAACAAAGTATGGAAACTTTTGGGTCAGCGGTGAGGGCCGAAGAACTCGATTTGACAGAATTAGAGGTCAGATGTGGCAACCTTTATACTTATTTTAGTGTTATCAGAGATTCATAACTCAGACACCCTTCCCTGACACAATATACTGTGTCTTCCTGTTCTCCTTTTACAGGGATAGTGGTCTTTTGTCACAGTGAAGAAAGACTCAACCTGATTGACTCAGTACTGTCTAATGGAGTAAGTCACATACTCCTCCATACCCAGAATTATCGGGTATTAACAGAGTGGCTGGGGAGCAAAAGAAAGGGTATAGAAGTGTATATTGCTGGGGGGGGGGGGGGGGGGGGGGGGGGGGGGGGGGGACATGTTGTTTGCCCTGAAGAGGGAAAGAAGAGATTTTGCTTTAAAATAAATGAAAAATGAAATTCTGCTGATGAGGGGAAGGCAATCAGAAAACACTTGGGTGTCCTATGTATGCATTATTCAGGTAACATGGGTAAGTAGTGGCAGTATATGTTTTAGTGGTCCAGACACAAGGGGCTTTTAGGGTGATCACTGGAATACTACAGATACTATACTTTATATTGCATATACTACAGTAAGCCAAATGCATGCTTGTCTTTTTACTAATGGAGTAGCCACATCTTCTTTTGCAGCTGGGGTATGTAAAATACTAAATCACTTTTTTGTAACATTCGCTTTATGTTTACATGTGGTGGTTGGGGATTTACTAATTCAGCAAAGCCGTCATCAGTTTCGAGTTGCGTTTTTGTTTCCTTTGTTACTTTAAATTAAAGTGGGTGTCCATCAGTCATAGCAAACATCCTCTGAGCTCTGTATGTCATCTAAGACAGGGGTAGGCAACCTTGGCACCCCAGCTGTTGTGGAACCAGAAGTCCTATAAGGCATTGCAAGACTCTGACAGCACCAAGCATGATGGGATTTTTAGTTTCATCACAGCGGGAGTGCAGAGGTTGCCTATTCCTGCTCTACCAGTACTGTGTTTAAAAGATTAAGCCTTGATATCCCCAAAAGACTCCTGACCACCTTAAGTGTTGGATGGCTTGTCATTTCTCTCAGGAACTTAGAGATATCTCGTCCCCCGTTTCCACTGGCAATGTGGATCTTGCTGTCTCACCTGGATCTCAATTTGTTTACATTTTTTTGCACATCAGGTGGGATGGATCAGGAAGAGCGCCGCTGTCTTTCTTGGTTTTATAATGATTGTGGAGATCTCAGTGGTATAAGAAGCCAGTGGATATCTCAACCCACTAATGACAACTGCTAACTGAAATATCTGCTTTAGGTGGACAGATCCTTATAATTCATTCTCCTATAAAGCCCTGTAATGTGCCTGTTATTTGCTGTGGCTGGACACCCCTTTAATTCAGTTAGTTTTTGGATTAAGTTGTACAAGTCATGAAACTGTAGCTTTTACTAATGCTAAATTAGGCAGCAGTTTAATACATGTATTTTGTTCTAGCGTTCCTATTTTTTAACATTTAACCCTCATTTCTTTCTCTAATTTTTGTTTTATTTTTTCCCCCGTTAGAGTGACCTCAGTTCTGTGGTAATTTTTTCATCATTTTATTTAATTCTAAAGCAATGTTCAATTTTGGCATTTGTGCCTGTTAATCAGTTAATTTCATTCTGAAATCAAACATAATGGAAAAGCATGATCACAACCCAATGTTTAGGTCCTTTAGGGTATGTATGTCAGCGTTCAGGATGCCGTAACGCATTATATCAGTGTCTGCAATGACAAGTATGGGCTTATTACCATTCAGTATTTTTCCTCAAAACCTTCAGTGTTGAAGACATTACAAAGTAAAACACAGCACAATTTCTGCAATTGAGTCTATAGGATATTAGGTTTGCCATGAAACTGCCCCTGTTTGCATGGTCAGGGCTGGCAATGGGAAGAGCAAACTGGACATTTTCCCAGGGCCCCATTTGAGATCATGACAGCAGATGTGGGGTGTTTGAATGCTGTCCATATGGAGCCTCCACTTTATATTAGCCCCGGTCCACATTTTGTCTAAAACCTTCCCTGTGTATTGTAGTACTTTATACAGCCTTATGTACATAAAGCTTTAAGGTTTCTGGCCGAGCTGAGCTCACCTGAATCAGACAGCGGTGTTGTCACGATACTAAAGTGCAATATTTCATTTGAACCATCAAAAAGGCCTGCGTCAATGAACTGACTGCTGAAAATTGACATGTAATTGTTAGTATGGGTTTGGCTCTATGTACTGCCTTATTGAATAAGCCGGAATAACTGAGTTGTGATGGCACAGATCTTCCAGTTCTCTCACGACAGACACCCAAGAATCGGTCACACCTAAATATTTTGTTGATGAACCTGCTTTTCTATTTTGTTGCTTATTTTATAACCTTCTCAAGCTCCACTAAGCTTTTCACTTTCCGCTGACAATTGCCTCATTGATATTTACCAGTATGCAGAAATCGGTTCTACAGTAATAAAAGCAATGGACTAATGTGATAGGGGTAGACCAAAACTCAAGTGCATTTTCCTGAATCCTTAGTATGTCGATTTTATAACTTTAATAAAAACTAAAGCTCAAATTTTTGATGAAATTTTACTAATGTAAAATGCTTGAGCTTTCTCCATGCTACCTGTGCAGACCGGTACTCATGGAAGTTTGTCATCAGTTTACTTATTTTAGTAGAAGTAGAATTAACACAAAAAAACCTCTAAGGAGAAGCCTGATCATCCTTGAACAGCTATTTAACATTCCATCAGGTCTCCATTTTATCGTTACACAGTACTTAAAGGAGCCCTTTATTTGATCTAGAAAATTAGATCCCTAAAGAATTAACCTGCATCTCTGATATATGAAGACAATTGAAGAATGGGTGTGTGCCCTGTCTAGTGTTGCTCAACAATTCCTGAACTCATGCTTACACTTTGTGTTGAAGACAGCATGTTGCTATTGTTTGGGCATAGGGAAAAGAAGGAAGTGGTTATGGTGATCTCCACTAAATGGCCAACTTGGGGATCTCTAATACACAGTGCCCCTAGCGAAAACTGAACACAATTTATGCAAGGCCACATCACTAATCAGTACGCATCTTTGCTGTCAAAGTTTATTTAAGGCAACTATTTTCAGGTATTTTTTTTTCTTTGTGTCTCTAAGTGACACTAAACTCAGGAGTTGATCCTTAAAAATGCATTCAAGTAACTTAACTATTAACAAAAACTTATCTTATTTGTGTGTCACTCGGCTGTAGATCCTTAAATCATCTCTGAATTGGTACCGACACTGTCCTTCCTTCTAGAGTGTGGTTACTTTTGTTCCCCATGGTCCCTGTGTATGTTGTTAAGTAGTCACAGCTCCAAGCTCACTCCTGTGTGGTACTACAATCTCATGTTTACTTTACTAATTTGTATTGTGATTGTAGTCCATCACAGGAGTGAGCTTGGAGCGGTGACTACTCTACAACACACACAGGGACCATGGGGAGCAAAAGTAGCAGACACCTACGAGAGCTTTGTTTATTAATTGGAACCTATCCCATGTCCATTGCTTGCTCCAGTTTGCCATTTGACTAACTTTGCTTCTGATTCTTAAGTTTGGGATGCCGGTTGGAACATCCATTAATTGTGGTAACTTTGATTTCCAGGCATGACACTAATCATCAGTAATAATATTGCTTCAAGACGCATTTTGTCCTCCTCCATTATATTCGGTGCTTGTCCTCTTAATCCTCTGTGTGGTTTTTCAGACAGACGAAGTGTTTCTGGAAGCCCAGATCCAGAATATCACCACTTCACCTATGTTCATGGAGAAGGTGTCGCTAGAACCATCTATAATGTACAACGTGACGGAGCTGAACAGTGTGGTCAGCAATGGTGGGGGGTAAGGACAACAATGAAATCTTAAAGTCTATGTAACAATGAACTTATTTGCTCCTTTTGGGTTGGTTTTAAATACCAGTGAAAGTGTTATATTATTACTGCTGTTTATACTGCCACGTGCAGGAGTAGGATGCTTGGCACAAAACACCAAAAAACAGTCTAGGGGCAGCCCCTGGCGGTGGCGAACCCTCCATGTGCAACACAGCCCCATACCGAGTTTTATAGCGTTAATGTTTTTGCATCTTCAGATGCTAGTTATGGAGGAAACGTCCTTCAGGCACAATGTGATCTCCTGGGTTACTCCACTCCTGGTGGTTTCCTCTTGCCTGCACTTTTTTTAGGTCACTGCTTGTTTTTTGGTATTTTATGCCTAGCATCCTACTCCTGCAGTTGGCAGTATAACCAGTGGCGAGATCTTTCGATCTTCACTGTGTCCTGCAATGAACACAGAGAAAAGGATTTTACGGTGAGTACCAAAATTAATTTTTTTGGCTACAGCTCAAACTATATCACCAACTTTATTATACCCCAGTGAAATTACATGTCTCGGATCTATGGGTACATTTGACTTGTTTTCAATGAATACAAGGCATTCTGTTATTGAATGAGGGGTGTTGACCTTACGATCCACCCCTTCTACAAACCTTGTATTCACTGGTAAAGGTACTAAGCGCTCTCTGAATGGCCACTGTGCCGGCCGAGTGACCTCCTGTGTTTTCAGAGCTCAGGGTAAGCCGCTCAGCACAGTACCCGAAATATTGCGGCCAACAGTACAGTACACCTGGCTACTACAGTGCCATTCATGATCCACGGCGGCTGATCAGGAATTACATATGCATACTTTACATTTGGCCATGCTGGACCAATGTAAGTATAAATAATAATTTATACCTGGAGTTTAGCTTTATATTTTATAACTGTTTAAGCTTACATATAAGATAGGTGTATATATGTTGCCTTTAGCTTTGCTTTCCTTGTATTTGATTCTTCAGCTTGAGAGTCAGGGCTCAAAGGTACATTGCTGCCATTCAAAGATGTAATGAATAGTAGCAGCAAATACAGACCAATCCTATCCCCAATAATTTTGGGCTGTGCATTTTTTCCTGTGTTCTTTAGGATGGAGATCAGTGGGAGCCGGGCAGTATTTGAACTCTTTGCCCTTCTGGCTGAGAAAAGACTGGCTAGAAGGTGCCCATAGCCTTAAATGTTACATTTTACAAAGTGCAGTAATATTGAACATTTCCCCCTAAGCCTGCAGTAATAGGAATTGGAGATTACCTAAAAACGTTTGTTGCCCTGTAGGTTGTCTACATTTGGAACAAAGACTTACTTGCAGCCACTGGACACACGACAGTACTTGTACTGCTTGAAGCCGAAGCCAGAATTTGCCGAAAAAGCCGGTGTCATCAAAGGGGTCACAGTAATCGGCAAACTGGACATTGTGTGGAAAACCAACCTGGGAGAACGGGGCCGACTACAGACCAGCCAGCTACAGAGAATGGTACAGACAAGGCCGAGAGCCTGATGCCTTTTTTTCAGCTTCTATCTAATACATACCATTTATGAGTCAGAAGGGGTTGTGGGGTCATCACTTCATTCTTCTGCCCCTAAAAACCAAACTGCATTACTCTTATACTGAGACACTTTACATACAAATATATCTTCAATAGTAAAACCTAATAAATGGAAAAACATGTTCTTTGATATATTTACCATTTCTGCAATCCTCTTCCGGGACAGCAAGCCTTCTTCTCCAGGGACTCTTTCCGACAATACCAATGAGATAGATGAAAAGACTGAAGGTGCCTGGAGTGCAACTGGGGACAAGTTCAGATTAATACTGAACCTAAAGAAGTTGAACAGGTATCTCCTGTTCAGAAGGTTCTGGATGGACAGTTGCTTCCGCTGGGCCATCTGGAAGTTCTGCTCTGGCTTGTTCACTTTCTAATTCTGCTTTTACCCCCAGTCACACTCCAGGCACCTTCAGTCTTTTCTTCTATCCCATTGGGATTGTCGGAAAGACTCCCTGGAGAAGTAGGCTTGCTGTCCTGGAAATTCGTAGAAATACCATTACCGGTAAGACTAACTGTAGATTTGCATGTTCTTCTAGTGCTTTATTTTACTATCCGCATATGCAAGTTTTTATGGCTCTGTTTCAGTGTTTACAAGCAGTAAGAATGGTTTTATATTAAGCAACTGTCAGCAATGTAGTGCAAAAAAAAAGATCAAGCCCAGAAGATAAACTTCCGCATTACACACATAAACACTCTGCAATGCATGATGATGATACACAAGAACTGAAATGTATATGTTCTTATGCACTTATTTTTTTTATTAGACGTAAGGCATAAGGGGATATACTTCATTTGATTTATATGAATGTTTTCCAGGCCTAACAGCTAATTCTTTCATTAATATTTTTAGGCTCCGGGATATGGCGATGTCAGACTTTCTTTAGAGACCATCCCAGATACGGTCAGTCTGGAGGAACCATTTGATATCACATGTAAAATCACTAATTGCAGGTAATACCTGTTTTTACATACAGGGCTTCATGGAACTGCCATCTCTATTATGTTTAGTGTTCAGCAAGATTTCCGACGGGCCCGGCCTCCGCTATTTGCTTACATCCTGTGGTGGACGTCTCCCTCTCCTGGTCACGTTTGTGCAGTAATCCCCAATTACTTCTATGGGGCTCATCTACCTCAGTTTCCCTAATGGGAGGTTAGCTCCATAGAAATCAATGGGGTTGTACTGCACCAGCGCGGCCAGGAGAGGGCGATGTCCACCCCAGGATGTAAAAAGAGGCCAGACCCACAGGGACTTGATAAGTATACATATGTGCAAGGGGAGAGGAATTAGTGATGTCATCTTAAAGGGGCCAAAAGGGTAAGTGCACTTTTCCTTTTAAAGTGTATTTCCATTTTTGCAGTCAGATTTGAGAAAACCCCTCACTCTCTACATGTATGTTTGTGTTGCTGTGTTCAGCATACTGCAAAATCATTTAAAAATATGTATTACTTTTCTTGGTGTGTCTGTGTAGCAGGCCTTTATAGCTTCTCTTTTCATTTCCATGTTCCACAGCGTCCTCATGTCTATGCAATGTTTATAGAACGTGATGAATTACAGCAGGGGGTAGCCAAACTCCGGCCCTCCAGCTGTGGTGAAACTACAAATCCCATGATGCATCTCTCTCCGAGAGTCGTGGCTGTGACAATCTTGCAATGCCTCATGGGATTTGTAGTTCCACCACAGCTGGAGGGCCGGAGTTTGGCTACCCCTGATTTACAGGATCTTAGACCGCTGCATTGAATGGGGAGAGTGGCTGGAAGGACCAGTCCAAGAGCAAGCTGACACTACGGGTTAATAAATATAGCTTACAACTGCTGAGATCTGCCAGCACAGACAGGGTTAACAATGTTAACATTATCCTGGCCAGCTCCCCATTCCAAAGCAAAACTCAGTACAGAGAACAACATTTCTTTGAGAATAGAGCTTTTATTTTGCAAGCAGCAGTTTTCAAAACCATTTAGGCCCCATTCACACCTGTGTGTTAGGCACACATATGTGGAAAAGCATGCCACGCGCTTGCAGTGTCAATCATTTCTAATGGCACCCCAATGGCGGCTAGCAAGACGGAAGCAAAAAAAAAACGCCAAACGTGTGTTGCGCAAAATACTAAATGAGCTTTTTTGCTGTTTCTGGCACGTATATAAACAAATTGGAATCAATGGGAGCGAGCGGCACACAAAAGTGCAAAAATGCGAACAGTACGCGCATTCCCACCATGTGCAGGTGTGAATCTGGCCTTAAGCTTATGCAATGTGAATGAGAAACGTAGCAAATATGAAATGGATGTTATCCCACTTTGGCTGCAAAAGGGGAAATACACTTTAAGATCCATTTAAGCACCGAGAGTCTTCCCCCTCCCACAGCCCTGGGGTTTTATCTGGAGCCGCACCACGTGTGGTGAAATGTGGTATTGTCACATGATTTTATAGATGCAGAACTCTCTGTGACCAGCATGCCATCTGCTGGAATTCAAAGCATTATCCTTTATAAATAACCGCACAGCTTCCCAGGCCCTAGAGAGGCAGAGACAGCAGGAATATTGTCAGGATCTTTCCCAGGTGCAGTACGGCTCTGCGCTGTCAGCAGATAGTGAGCAGTAACCCGCTATTGTATGCTAACTTTGGGTATTCTGACTTTTTTAGTAAATATACTCTTGTGACCCAAAAGAGAAGTATAGCAGCAACAAAAAAGTCTTGGCTTTACTTTTGTTATGTGGCCTGTTTTGTAGATTTTCTAGATGTAAATGGGGAAGTGTAAGACATGGGAAAGCTTGCAGTGATGTTTGTTTTTCTCATAGAATAGAGACGTATCTGAATGTATCGGAGCAGAACGTCTTTTAATCTGCATATTGTTCTGAGAAGCACAATTGCAGTGACTTGAAACAGTTTGTGATCTTGTATGCACTCTAAATAACTGGATTGGTTAAAGTGACCCTGTCACATAATCCGAAAAGAAATGAAACTTGGCCAACCCGGTGGCCAAAGTATTTGTGATTCTGTTCATCCATATTTGTGATTCACACAGTCCTGCCACACTGTATAGCCAGCATGGTGACACCACTGTCTGGTTGTGCCAACTCTCCCAGAGCCTGAAGCATGATAAAATGATAGCACCATGCTATGCAGTAAAGCCTCTTTATCTCTGTGCTCACACTCTGACTCTCGGCTTATTTTGGGGTTTGCAAAGCATAATTGTTCAATAGAGGGATTGTCATGAGAAGAGAATGGGGGCTGCCATTGCATGGCCTCTTTTTGACATGCTAGTTGCTGGGCTGGCTGGCTAAAATAGGTTTTAGTCACAGACCTAGAACAGGCATCAGTGTCAGAATACCATCTCTGTGCTTATTCCAGTTCAGAGACTCGGAAAGCATTGAAGCCAAAGCAGGTGCATGACCGCTATGAAACCTACATATGTAAAGGGGAGGTCACAAATAGCTGTTCTCATGATTTTCCAGTGACCAAGTACCTTTAATACAACGGTAGATTCTATAAACAAAAATATGATCGATCTATACCTCACACGATGGTACTTGGTACCGTCCAGACTAGCCCATCTCCATCCCTCGCACTCATCTTCTTGCTTTAGGGGATGCTCATCGGTAGGTGATGTCCTCCATACGTGGTGGACCTGCCCCATGCTGGCCAGGTTTTGGTCAAGAGTCTTCCGTATGCTAGAAAGACTGTTCTCAATTCAGCTCCGCAAAGACCCTTGGCTGGCCTTACTGCACCTTAAGTCTCCGCTCCTTACAAAAAAACATCGCCTAGCTACACATGTCCTGCTGGCGGCTAAACAAACCATTGCCTCGGCTTGGAAAAAGCAATTTGTACCCTTTGGGGAAGTCACGCGGCATATGGACTTTTTCTGCTTAAACAAGAAGCTGACTAGCATCCTCGCAGACACCAACAAAACTTTCAGTAAGATCTGGCAACCATGGATAGATTATGCCCATCCCTCCTTGGCCTCAACAAGTCTCTCGGCCCTATAGGCTCCCGTGACAAAAAGGCTCATTCCGGACGAGCTCTGTCCCCCTCCCCCTCCTTCCTTCCTTCTTTTTCCAACCCCCCTCTCTCTCACCTCTGGTACTACCACTGTATGGACTCCCTTGTCCGTGTAGTCCCAAGCTCACCCCGACAAGACATTATCCTGCAAACGCCTGATGACCATTCTCCCGCAAGCTCACACCACTGGTCAACATTCATCGGTCCCATGTTTGTAGGCTATGTATGTATACATCTCACTGTTGATCATTGTGTCTTGTACCCTATATGCCGCTGAAAACGTAATAAAAACTTTGAAACAAAAACAACAACAAAAATATGATCGATCTTAATAAACATGTTTACTGATTTAATACATAGCCAGACTATGGCGAGTGTCTGTGTTTGCTGAAAGTGTCAGATCTCATTTGTAAGGTGCAGTGAGAGCGCAGGGACAGACGTACAGTTCTGTATCCTAATATCTGGAATTGTAATGCTTTGTCTCTACTTCTCCCTAGCAGTGAACGGACCATGGATCTGATTCTAGAAATGTGTAACACTAATTCCATTCACTGGTGCGGAGTATCAGGAAGACAGCTCGGCAAACTGCACCCCAGCACCTCGCTCTTCCTCAGTCTGACACTTCTGTCATCTGTGCAGGGCTTGCAGGTGAGTACTGCCCCAATGCCCCTCTCTGTAATGTATTCTGCTGGCTTTACTTACCTCTGCACACTGTGTGGCAGTACAGAAATGGAGTTCTGGCTTTCATTTGTGTCTCAACATGTCAGCCCTGCTGGGCTACAGAACACCTCTCCCCCTTGTCATCTCCATCTCATCTGTAGTCCAGCAGGGGAGAGCTCAGAATTGATTATATAAGACATTCACAGGGTGCATAGTGTAGCAAGACAGAACTGAGCTGGCAGCGCTGCTTGGGATTTCAGAGGAGCTGTGCTGTCCGCTCCAGTAGGAAGTTTGGGGCTCTCTGGATTTGCAGCAGAATCGCCATGTTTTTCTGTACCAAAGATGGGGCAATATACAATATTTCAGAGATATACAGCATGTGTTTTATTTTGTTTTATTGTGCCCTCACATACACTTTAACCCCCTAAGGACCCTTTTGCTGCCAAGGCCTTTTTTGTTTTTTGCACACATGTTATAATCCACATTTTAGGGCTGAAAATTACTTCAAACCCCCAAAACATTCTCTATTTTCTGAAAGCCAAGAAGATCCTGTAGAATAAAAGGGCAGCAGTTGCAATTTTTTATGTTGCATGTTATTGGCACAACTCTTAATCAAACCCAAAAATTTAGTGTAAAATGCACTTTAAGTTAATTTTGGTGCCCCAAAACGCAAAATACCCATTTTATTTGTACAATATTAAACATGAGGTTATGATGCGTAAACAGATACCCAACATGCCCAGGTTAATAATTGCGTAGGTCTGTGAAACGGCAACAAAATTCTGTACCCCAAAAAGACCTTGGACAACGCTATTAAAGCTCCTACAGGTCATTAGTTTAGAGATTGGCATAAATATTGGCCTTGGAATTATTGCTCTCAGTCTGGTGTGTGCGGCGCTACCCAACATGTGCAGTGTGATCGCCATTTTCGTATGTAGGTGCACCAAATGTGCGCTCGCGGGGGGCTTTAACAAATGTTTTATTATTATTATTACATTTGTTTTATTTAATATTACAAGCCCCCACGTGAAAGCATATTGGCAGTGACAGGTACTCTTTAAGGTGATACATGGGGTCCAAAAGACCCCTAGTGTCACCTTTCCACTTTAAATAGGCTATCAAAGTGCAGATCGCCCTTCAATAGCTTATTGCTCGGCTTTACCGACCCGTGGAAGTGATCTGGCAGCAGCTGAGCCACCAGAATCTCTTCTATTGTAAAGCCGACAGCCGGCTCTACAAATGTAAACAAACAGTCAGCCGCCGCTAGTCTGTTTAAACGGGCCCGCTGCCAATGATGTACTATGTGCGTCACTGGTCGCGATAGGGTTAAAGATTGATTTCACTTTTGAGGTATTCATGAAGTATGACTTGGATAAGAAGGATGAGACATAGAGCAAGTCACTACAATAATAATTGGCTATGTCTCAATGTTCATTTTACTTTTATGCTTTAACCCCTTCATGACCTTGTTTTTAGTTTCTGTTCGTAAATGACTGACACACTTTTGACATTTTTGCTGTGTGATTCTTCCACGTCAGTAATATACTTTCTTACAAAGTGCACCCACACATATTATATATTGTTTTTTAGAGGACAGATAGGGCTACATATTTATATCACATATGTGTGTCTAACGCCTCACTTAGGACAAATAAAATATAAAAAAAAGAGGTAAAAACGTTAAAAAAACACTTTTTTCCCAGTTCTGATTTTAGTATTTTTTACAAAACCAGCACAGCTTAAAAAAAAAGCAATACATACATTCATTTATTTGTCCTTTTATGTTTTATTTGTTTACACTTTTTTTTCTTTACACTTTTCACTATTTTTTTAAACTTTTAAAAATTGTATTTAATTATATCAAGCAGTCATTGTGAATTAATCTCACTATTACTGCTTGATAAATTAATACATTTTTGGCATTTATTAGGCTGTTTCAATAAGTTAGTGACACTGATCCTGCAGCAGTTCAGGATTCAGCTGTCACTAATGGTTTTCTGATCGTTCCAACAACGATCAGAAAACTGAAACATTCTTCTTTCAGGAATAGATACATTATGTATCTATTTCTGAAAGTGAAAGGAAAAAGAAAAGCCAGTATACGATCTGAGAGAGATATCTCTCGATCTATACGAGCTGTCAGAATGCCGGCTTTTGCTCTGCTTTGATTCTCAGACACCCGATATTAAGGTATCGGGTGTCTGAAAAAGGTTAACCCTTCCATTAATGGATGCCTCTATACTGAGGCATCCATTAATGAATGTTAACCGCTGATTTTCAGCGGTTACCAGCCCTCTAATGCAGCAAATAACTCGTCACGTACAAGTCATTTGGTCCCTTTGTGGCGGGACGTACAGTGTACCTCTCCCGTCACGAAGGGGTTAAAAGGCTTTCCCACTCCCTCATTGGCCCCATAGTTTACTTTCCACCAGCTATTTTGTATCTTGAAATGAATGCCAGTTATTCTGTAAGACTTTAGCATGACGCAGCCTTCAGATTCATGATTGACTTGTATTTCAAGGACACTTTGCAATGCTTTTCTGGCTGGAATGCGGACAAATAATAAATGCAGATTTTTTTCTTTTATGAGGAAGTGTGCTTTTATTATGTTTATAAATGAGGAATTTCCCTTTAACAGTGTCATTTGCGTAAGGTAGAAATGACTTTTGTTGTCATCTATTCCCGCAGAGCGTTTCCGGATTAAGACTGACGGACACATTTTTAAAGAGAACTTATGAATACGATGACATTGCTCAGGTGTGCGTTGTGTCTTCTAAGGTTCAAGCATAAAAACTGTCTCATCTCTATCTCCATCTCTATCTCGGAGACATGAAGGCCAACGTCTCCAGGAGCAAGGCGCACACTTCAGACACATGACCTGTTTACAGATGAATCAAGCTCGTTTTATTGTTTAATGGTTCTTTTCATTTGTCAGCAAATGCCTTTTATTTTTAAATGTGTGTTTTAATACACCGTCTTTTATCGCATACACCACAAAAATAAAGTGTAAATAGGAATTTATTTATTTGATATACAGCCTTTCCACTTGCCTTGCACTCGGACATAAACATTTTACTTGAATCAAAGCAATTTAGTGTAAGATTGTACCTGGGGAATTCAGACTGAAAACATGATGAGCAAATGCAGGAGATGTGTGAGAACTGAAAACAATGAGTAAATCCAGAGATATGGCAGCTGAATGGAAGGCAGGTATTGGATTCCCTGTAAAAGCTGAGCTTGCAAAGCTTGTGCTGCTTCTCTGTTGGTCAGTAATGCTGCTTATCACATTAAAGGGCCAATAGGGGGATGGGTCAGACCAAGCTTTGCACATAACTTCAGCTGTCTACATCTACTGATCATATTGCTTTCATTGTAGGTAACATCTGCTTATCCATTCATGTGTCATATGCTCGGTTTGAATTAGTCAGGTTGATGATAGGCTTGCTTTAACGTGGTATGACATCTTCCATGTCAGGCCAAATGGGGGGGGCGGGGGATTGTTGTGACCCTTGGACTAGTTCATGGCCTGTCTGGATAGATGGGTCTGTTACCCTAAGGAGAACTATGGGGAAAAACACTGACCCCATAGTTCTCCTTTAAATCATTTTATTTCAGCAGTTCTGATTGGTTCTAATGTTGGTTTTGGGTGGAGTTGGGCCATCACTTTGCTGGTACTGATATTATTTCCAATGTGCTTATTTAAAGTGACACTAAACTCAGGAGTTAAACCTTAAAAATGCATTTGAGTACCTCAACTATTAAATGTATCTTATTTGTGTATCACTCGGCTGTAGATCCTCAAATCATCTCTGAATTGGTGCTGACACTTTTCTTCCTTCTGGAGGGAGGCTACTTTTGTTCCCCATGGTCCCTGCGTGTGTTGTAAAGTAGCCACCGCTCCAAGCTCACTCCCGGGATACACTACAATCTCATGTTTAGTTTACCAATTTCTATTGAGATTGTAGTCTATCACACGAGTGAGCTTGGAGCTGTGGCTACTTTACAACACACACAGGATCATGGGGAACAAAAGTAGCCACCCTCCAGAAGGAAGGACAGTGTCAGCAGCAATTCAGAGATGATTTTTTTTGATCTACAGCCGAGTGATACACAAATAAGGTACATTTTTGTTAACAGGGTACTTGCATGTATTTTTAAGATCGAACGCCTGAGTCTAGTGTCACTTTAAAATTAGGTTGAATTGGAACCAAATGCTGATGTGAATATAACGGAAGGGAAAGCTTGATTTTAGCAACAAAAAAGCATCAACTTCAGACACATCAAAGTAGAAACAAATGACATCACACCAAAGTGATGCCACGAATTCCTCGGGAAGGAAGCGTTTCCTATTGGTCACAATACGGCTGTCATTGTAAGTAGGCAACAGGCACATATTACTTCACATAATAAAGCTCTCCATGGACCAACTCATGAACCTGTCACTTTCTGTATTTTCCTGGTTCCTTTCTACTGTATAAATCTGGAAATCTATTTGTAAATAGTAATAAATTGTTCTTCAGAATTCAGTTTTCCATTTGTGTCTATACGTGATGTATACCTGTTCTCATGGTATTGAAGGATGTAACGTGTGTATGGGATTCAGGCCAGCTTGGTAACTTGAAGGGATGACATTAAGAATAAAGAAAAGTGTCCCCATTTTTAGAATGGCTGCTAATCTGTCTAATCATTACTTCTGCCAAACATCTGGACTCGTCTTCCTCGGCATGGGTTACAGGCACGCTTTCATTTTGGATTATGAAGTAATAACAAGGACTTTTCTTCTTATGTGTGTAACCAAAATGTGTTAGGAGTAATGGATGGCACGGTGGATGTAGTGCTGGGGTCCTGGCTTTAGTTTGCAACAGGGACACTGTCTAGGTGGCAACTCCAGCTGTGCTGTAACTACAAATCCCAACATGCTCCTGCCTCTGGTAGTCATGCCTGTAACAGTGAGTCTTGCAATGCCTCATGGGACTTGTAGGAGGGCTGGAGTTGCCCACCCCTGGTCTAGAGTTCACATGTCCTCCTTTGTTAGTTTAGGTTTCCTCCTTTTAACCAAAAGCAACTTTTGTGATGAGTGGCTACCACTTTTGGATAGTATATGTGGAAAAATGTAACACCACCGTCCGAATTCTTTTTCTCAGTCTGTTCCCATGCTGGGAAAGTTTCTCCTCACTTCCTGTCTGGCAATAATCTTCATGAAACAGGAAGTCTCTCCAATGGGACACAGACTTAAAATCCTAACAGATGTTCTAACCTTTCCACCTATCCAAAACTTTTTGGCTGGAGTTTTACTTTACATTGGGCCGTGTGTGTTTGTATAAGTGTAGTACAGATATTAGATTGTAAGCAGTGGTGTTTGGTTCTATGGCAGGGGGTGGGCAAACTCCAGCCCTCCAACTGTGGTGAAACTACAAATCCCATGATGCATCTGCCTCCGGGAGTCATGCCTGTGGTTGTGAGAATCTTGCAATGTCTTATGGTATTTGTGTTTCTACAACAGCTGAAGGGCCAGAGTTTCCCCACCCCTGTTCTGTGCACTCAGTAAAGTACTTTGGCATAGCCTAGCTCTTTATAAATCCAGGAAGTAAAAAGGAATGGTAGCAGATGAGCATTCATTGGCTGAAGTCTATTTTAACGTTGCATACTGGTCACTTTCTAGTCACCTTCACAACTATAATGAGGGTTTTCATAATCACCAATGTTGCCCCATTATTGCCAGCTTTACATACATTTTTCTTTTACCGCTATTATGCTCCAAAAAGTACATTTCACTTTACTCCCTTTGATTAAAAATCACAACATGCAGCTCTGCTTGCTGATATGAAATCATCTTACATTCGGTAGTTAAACAAACTTGTTTGTCATGTACTTGCAAATAGAGTTAATCTACTTCCTGGTCCAGTTCTGGCACAAATGATGTAATGTGCCAAAGCGTTGCATCCTGGGAAGGTTACATCAGCAGAGCATTACTGGGAAATCTCATCTGTGATCTCAGAGAAAGGCATTTTCCTCCCCTGAGATGATGTGCATGGTCACATCTCCTAGTCACATGTGCCAGAGTTCCCGGAAGTAAAGGGAGATTTATTAATGGCCAGTGAGAAAACTGGGGAAGAAAGGGGAAATAAGGTATGCACAGAAAATAAAAAGCCGGCAATGATCTAGAAGAATGTGTCCTTCCAAAGATCTGGGTAAAGTTCCACTTTAAGGTTTTTCAGCACCTATCTGACCCATTTACTGTGTGAATATTGTACTGATTTGTGCAGGATTTTTGTATGTAAACTCAATTTACCAAATTTCATTGCAAGGGTAACTGTGCCCTAAAATTCAGCCAGCTTTGGAGCTACTGTGTGGCTTCTATTAAGGAAGGTAGGACTTGGGATGCTTTTTGGTGGCAATAGGGTTTCATTAGACAAAATGATTCCTGGAAAATAAAGGCTTGCAGTACTTTGTGTGTATACAAACCTAAAACAAAGATTCAGTACATTGCAGCTTATCGGGCCTTTCAATGTGGTGGCTGCATTAGTTTTCATTTTCCAGCTAAGAACATTTCAGCAAGCTCTTTCACTGAGGTACGGCGGTGGATTAAGGTGCTCAGTCCTTCTGTGAAGCTAAGGCCTGGTGTCCATCTGGCGACTAGCACTCTTCTCCTCTGCCATCCGCGACACTACGAGCGGCCATCACACGCAGCAATGGCCTTCTCCTCCCAGCTCGTCTGTATTTACTCCGCTCTCATCCTCTACGATGACGATATCACCATCACGGAAGACAAGATCCTCGCTCTGATCAAAGCTGCAGGAGTCAGCGTGGAGCCGTTCTGGCCCAGCCTGTTTGCCAAGGCTCTCTCCGGCATCAACATCGACAGTCTGATCTCCAATGTGGGAGCTGGTGGTGGCGCCCCCGCTGCTGCTCCAGCTGAAGAGAAGGAAGAGTCCGAGGAGTCTGATGACGACATGGGCTTCGGTCTCTTTGACTAAGTTTTTCTACAAGGATTGTAATAAAGATTCTGGATTCAGTACAAAAAAAAAAAACATTTCAGCAAGTACCCAATATAGCTGTTGATTGTCCAAAAATGCAGTTTCCTTGTCACTTCCTGAGAGGAAACAGCAAACAAAACAATCTTCTCTTTCTTCTGTAAACTGCTTATCTCTTCATCCCCCATGTACTGGTGATGTACAGAGGCAGACATATTTGTACTCCAATCTGGGCTGCAACCATGGCTTCCTCCATAGATACAGTGGAGGTGTGAGCTGAGCTACGCAGGGACAGAAGTGTGTTCTTCACAGGATTACCAGGTGAAACTAAAAGGGGAAAGGAAATCTTATGCAGCCACCACATCTAAGGGCTGGTAAGGTTCAACATATCACATTTTTATTTTTGGATGTTTAGACACACTTAGAGCTGACGCCCAGACAAATATTTAACAAAACAAATCTAATATTTTCAATACAGTACAAAGACATAGACCAGGGGATGACAACCTTGGCACATCAGCTATGGTGAAACAAAATGGGATTTGTAGTTTCACCACAGCTGGCGTGCCAAAGTTGCCTACCCCAGTTTTAGACAATTGAGTGCTTCCAAGCTTTCGGCAACAATCTGGGGGAAGGCCCCATTCTTTTCTAGGAGAACTGTGCCCTGTACACAAAGCCAGCTCCATCACATACATTGACCAGTTTAGTGTGGAGGAACTTAGTGTCCTGCACAAAGCCCTGACCTCATCTCTACTTTGGGATGAACTGGAACACATAGTACAAACCAGGTCTTCTTGTCCCAACATCAGAACCTGACCTGACATGTACTCCTATATATCGGTCACCGAATAGAAAATGTTGTTGCACAGCAATTGTTACAATTCCAGTACTGTGACACTTAGAATGTAGAGATCACGTACAGGACAATACGATTTATTTCTATAAAACTGCTACTGTTCTGTCCATTGGAAAGAAGGATGTTATGAGACAACAGTACAAAATAGACAGCGAGCTTCTCATCTTTAGTTGATTGAATTTACAACAAAATATACAATAAAATGAGGATAGTATGGACGTTTGGCAGATTCCTCTCCTATACGGATCTCACCAGATGATGTACTACAGGTTCCCATGCTCTGCTGTAGCTGCATGTGTGTGACAATGGAGCGTACTCGGGGATGCTGCCTGACGGAAGGTCAGCTCTGTCAGCCACTTTGTTAACGTGCGCAGTGGTCAGTTATTGTTCCATGTGTGAATAGCCACCTGAAAAAAATATATATATTCCTATGAATTAACTATATCTAAGATACCATATAGTTCTATTGTAGAATGTAATGATGTTTGATGTCTTAAGGTCCTCAAAGTGTATCTAAACCTACAAACATGCCGGCCAGAGCGTCCTGTGAAGCAACGACTGGTTGCCACGTGGTGGGCGGAACACCGGCCAGAACATCACAAGTTGCTACCTGGGATGCTCTGGCCGGAAAGGGGGCAGCGGGCACACCTGCTCTCCCCCCCCCCCCCTGTGCCCCAAGGAGATCCCC